GCAAAAACATAAAGAGATCAGCCAGATGTCCAACTCTAGTTTTATATAACCACAGCAGCATGCAACACCCTCACTGTAACTGAAACTTCCTAATCAAATATACTAAAACTCCTCCCAGGTCTCATCCAGCAGCTGTGCCTTCTCTGCTTTTGTGAGGCTGTATAATTCCGACCGGTTGCACACACAGCCGAGTAACCACAGCCAAACGTCAAATACAGTAAGGTTTAGGATCTGAATATAAAGGTAAAGGTAAAGCGACCCCTGACCATTAGGTCCAGTCGCGGATGACTCTGGGGTTGCGGCGCTCATCTCGCTTTATTGGCTGTGGGAGCCGGCGTACAGCTTCCGGGTCATGTGGCCAGCATGACTAAGCCCCTTCTGGCAAACCAGAGCAGCGCACGGAAACGCCATTTACCTTCCCGCCGGAACGGTACCTATTTATCTACTTGCACTTTGACGTGCTTTCGAACTGCTAGGTTGGCAGAAGCAGGGACCGAGCAACGAGAGCTCACCCCGTTGCAGGGGTTCGAACCGCCGACCTTCTGACCAGGAAGTCCTAGGCTCTGTGGTTTAGCCCACAGCGCCACCCACATCCCACGATCTGAATATAGAATTGCAGATTTGGAAGGGGCCATGAGGGTCATCCACTCCAAACCCCTGCGATGCCAGGGGTCTTTTGCACAACACGGGACTTGAACCCGCAACCCCGGGGTTAGGAGTCTCATGATCTAGACTTGATCAGAGCAAAGGCCTCAGCTTCTTGGTTCCCATATTGGCCAACCAGATGAGCCAATGGAAAGCCAATATGGAGGACACAAATGGCTGCATAGTGTTTTAGTTGTTCCATCAGCCCTCGCTAGAGGGGTCCGGTTGGAGAAGACTGATCTAGAATATCATTACGCCGGAAGACCTACAGTTGTACCTAAGGTTTCTTTGTCCAAATGACTCAACTTTTCTTCCTGTCCGGAGCCTTACTGGTTCTCAGAGTTTTTGTTTCCCCTTTATTCAGAAGGGGAATACACACACTTTATTATTATTACTATTATTATTATTATTATTATTATTATTATACATTTTTATTAATTTTTAAACATATCATTTCCAACAATCATTTAACATACATTCTTATCTTATACAATATTTTAGACTTCTGTCAACTACCTCTGAAGATTTTCCGTTCTTTATCACTTAATCTGCATTTCTTAATCTCTATTGCTTTTAATTGTCCTTAACTAATAATTCTCTTCATAGTCTTCCTTGCAATATTTCACATAATCATCCTTACAAAACTTATTGCAGTCCTACTAGTGTAATCTGTTTATTACAATTGCTTTTCAAATAATTCAAATATTTACTCCAGTCCTCTAAGAATCTCTGGTCCCGCAGGTTTCGAAGCCTTCCTGTCAGTTTGTCTAATTCTGCATAGTCCATTAATTTCATTTGGCACTCTTCTTTCGTCGGTAATTCTTCTTGTTTCCATTTTTGTGACAATACTATTCTTGCTGCCGTTGTTGCATATAAAAACAATTTACAATCCGGCCTATTAATACCCTCCCCTACAATGCCAAGTAAAAGTGCTTCTGTTTTTTTTAATAAATGTGTATTTCAACATCTTTTTCATCTCATTAGATATCATTTCCCAGAAGCTTTTTTACTTTCTTACATTCCCCAGAAGAAGGACACACTTATAGTGCAGGAGCCTGGGAACACCTGCTTGCTGCTAGTGATGTGACTTATTTTGGGGGTGTCTCCCCCTCCAGATCTAGTGCTGGCTGGTTGACTTGTAACCGAGGAGGAGGAAAGAACATAAATGGAACCTTGAAGTGGTGGGGCTTTCAGGATTGTTTCTGTGTGCATTGTAGAGGGAAAGCATGTTCAGATGGAGATGGGAGCTCTGCGTGGCTCAGAGGGGTAGGAAAAGTAAACGGGTGGGGTGTTCTCTCCTTCTGGGGAAAGGATATCCCAGGGGGAAGGAGAACATTGATTGGTTTCAAGGTTCTCAAAGGAAAGTTGGACGGGAGGATCTGTTGGGGTGGTGCAATGTTTGCATTCTTGTCTGTGGCATTCATTTGCATTTACAGTTCCAGCATTTTGCTTTAATTTTTTTTTATGTTTAAAATTTTTATTTTGTTGTTGTTGTTGTTGTTGTTGTTGTTGTTGTTTAGTCGTGTCCGACTCTTCATGACCCCATGGGCCCGAGCACGCCAGGCACTCCTGTCTTCCACTGCCTCCCGTAGTTTGGTCAAATTCATGCTGGTAGCTTTGAGAACACTGTCCAACCATCTCGTCCTCTGCCGTCCCCTTCTCCTTGTGCCCTCCAATCTTTCCCAGCATCAGGGTCTTTTCCAGGGAGTCTTCTCTTCTCATGAGGTGGCCAAAGTATTGGAGCCTCAGCTTCAGGATCTGTCCTTCCAGTGAGCACTCAGGGCTGATTTCCTTCAGAATGGAGAGGTTTGATCATCTTGCAGTCCATTGGACTCTCCTCCAGCATCATAATTCAAAAGCATCAATTCTTCGGCGATCAGCCTTCTTTATGGTCCAGCTCTCACTTCCATACATCACTACTGGGAAAACCATAGCTTTAACTATAGGGACCTTCGTTGGCAAGGTGATGTCTCTGCTTTTTAAGATGCTGTCTAGGTTTGTCATTGCTTTTCTCCCAAGAAGCAGGTGTCTTTTAATTTCATGGCTGCTGTCACCATCTGCAGTGATCTTTTATTTTTTACCAACAACCAAAAAGCAAACAGTGAAACCCCCCAGGCGGCTGATACATTGGGTCTACATAATCAATGATAAATATTCAAATCAACCATATATACAATTTTATATATGTTAACACTCCTCCATCCACAAGGTTTATTTAACCTTTTAACATTTTAATTGCCCCAAATTGTTCAAACCTACCCAAATAATTCAGTATCTTCTCAAACTAATCCTCCTCTTTCTCAATGAAGCATTTTGCTTTAATCTACCCCTTACATCCCCCTGGTTGCCCTCCTCTGGACAGACTCCAGTTTGTCAATGTCCGTCTTCCAATGCGGCACCCATCTCTGGAAACAGTAAAGGTTCTTTGTTGGTGAAAGTTAACGAGGGACAGATAAGCAGGAGAGGACACAGACTTCCACGCCTACTTTTTAAATACACAATATGTATTTGTTTTAGTTTTCACCTAGGCTTATCTTTCATCTTTCTGTTCTGTGGTCGTGCATGGTTTCAGTAACGGCATTAAATGAGAAGTCAGGGCAGTGACATTCACTTTATTACTAAAACTTTATAAATCTATGTCACGGGAAACAGAAGCGCAGAAGAAATTCTGTTCAACAGGAGGCAACCCTTTCTATGGCTGATCTCAAAATGGCTGCTGACTAGTTTTCGATTATCTACCGGTGTTCCCTGGTACTTGTTCCCTCCATGCCCCAATTCAGGTAACACCTTAATTCCTATTACAGCTCCCTTTTGTAGAAAAGATGCTTTTTGGAACATATCTACTAGATTTTCTTTTTAAACTCCCCTTTGCAGGGAACCAGGCAAAGGGCCTTCTTGGTGGTGGCACCCGCCCTGTGGAACACCCTCCCATCAGAGGTCAAGGAAATCAAACAACTACAGTAGTACCTCTGGTTGCGAACGGCCCATTTGCAACATGAAAAGCCCACAACCTGAAGTGCCATATCTGCGCAGGTGCGCAGCATGATTTGGTGCTTGTGCACATGCATGAAGCGCAATTTAGCACTACTGCGCATGTGCGAGCAGCGAAACCCAGAAGTAACCCTTTCCGGTACTTCCGAGTTGCCTTGGGACGCAACCTGAAAAATCGTAACATGAAGCAAACGTAACATGAGGTATGACTGTATCTGATTTTTAGAAGACATCTGAAGGCAACCCTGTTTAGGGAAGCTTTAATATTTGATGTTTTATTCTGTTCTTAATCTGTTGGGAGCCGCCCAGAGTGGCTGAAGAAACCCAGCCAGATGGGCGGGGTACAAATAATAAATTATTATTATTATTATTATTATTATTATTATTAGTCAACAGGGAAGCTCAACAGAGCTGGCCGTTGCCCCAAGATGAACTTACTGACACTCCAGAAAATGCCCCAAATCCTCTGCAACACCCTCCGGCTCCATGATAAATGTGCAGGGAATCTCATACAGAATAACTGGGCTCCGTAGGCAAAGAAAAATTGAAAGCCCCTTCCCTAGAGGGAGACCCCATTGAAGTTTGCATCCAGGTAAGTGCATGTTACATAGCCTCGCATTCTGCTTTCCTATCTGCCCCCCCCTTTTACAAAAATACCCCCCCCCCACCAGGCAGATCGCTTTCCCTTCCCTTTTGTCCAAGTACAAATTTACAAAGCTTGTTTGCACGCTGTGCCCTGGATTTTAATCAAGTTCACAGTGAAAAGAGATAATAGTTTAAGAAGAAAGGGAGACCCGCGATTACTTCACAGCCGACTTCACCGAAAGAAAGGAGCTTCTCCCCAAGACAGATGGTTGGTAGCGCTTCTCCCTCCGCAGCCATCCGCGAGGCTGCATAATCACAAGGAGGTGTGCGCACAAACCGCAGTTCTTGATTTCCTACATGTCTTATCTGCAGTCATGTTTTATGCATTGGGGGGGAATCAGATCGCACGTCATTTTTTATTCAGCAGAGGGGTGGGAGAAAGGTAAAGCACAATATGGATACTTTCTAGGTACTGTTCAGAGTTCGTTGGACAAGGTGGAACAGGCCAAAGCGTTTACGGGAATTAAAATTGGCAACTTCAAGTTGTACGTGGATTCCCACCCCCCAAAGAAGGTCCGATTCTATGAAGGGGCTTATTTCACCACCTGAACTGATTGGGAGAGTTGAATTCCCTCAGAACACAAGGCCGCTGCTAACATCCCAAAACGGTTTTTAATAACTTTTAACCAGGGCTTCTATTCAGCTGGAAGTCACTCAGCCCTGACACCTACCATTATTATAGTAGCTAGGCAGGAAACGCAAAACTACAAGAAGTCTAAGGGGATGACTGTAGCTCAGTGGCACAGCATCTACTCTGCATGCAGAAGGCCCCAGGTTCGAATCCTGCCATTTCCAGGTAGGCCTGGGAATATCTTCCTGCCTGAAACTCTGGAGAGCTGCTGCCAGTCAGTGCAGGCCAAGTGTGAGGAACCCTTGGCCACCCAGATGTTGCTGAACAACATCTTCCATCATCCCTGGCATTGGCCATCCTCACTGGGGCTGTTGGTGGTTCTGCAATATCTGGAGGGTTAAAGGTTCCGCACAACTGGAATGGACAATACTGGTCAATGGTCTAATTTTGGGCAAGCCAACCTCCTATGTTCCTAAGTATCCAGAAGTAATTGGTGCAACAAATGCAGAGAAATGAGCAAAGCAACTAACAAATTGTTGTTGTTGTTGTTTAGTCGTGTCCGACTCTTCGTGACCCCATGGACCAGAGCACACCAGGCACTCCTGTCTTCCACTGCCTCCCGCAGTTTGGTCAAACTCATGTTGGTAGCTTCGAGAGCACTGTCCAACCATCTCGTCCTCTGTCGTCCCCTTCTCCTTGCGCCCTCCATCTTTCCCAGCATCAGGGTCTTTTCCAGGGAGTCTTCTCTTCTCATGAGGTGGCCAAAGTATTGAAGCCTCAGCTTCAGGATCTGTCCTTCCAGTGAGCACTCAGGGCTGATTTCCTTAAGAATGGAGAGGTTTGTTCTTCTTGCAGTCCATGGGACTCTCAAGAGTCTCCTCCAGCACCATAATTCAAAAGCATCAATTCTTCGGCGATCAGCCTTCTTTATGGTCCAGTTCTCACTTCCATACATCACTACTGGGAAAACCATAGCTTTTACTATACGGACCTTTAGCTAGAAGCTAAAGATGCAAAGATTATTTTACTGAAACTTGGGACCATCTTATCATCCGCTGCAATAAAAAAAAGACAGTACACAACCACCAGTGACTCATAGCAAAGTCTGGTCGGATATCCTAGCATGACACAGAGTGCTTACCTCTTGCAAAACAGAAACTAGCACATCAAAGGAAATGGCCTATATTGGAAAAATAAATTCTGTAACTCCTCACTGCTTTTTGTTCATTGTTGAAGGTTTTTTATGTTTATACAATGAAAATAATGGACATATGCTTTCAGAAGGAATGCACCAAACTGCGCCCTGAGACCTCCAGGGTTACAGTTCCCTCACATCACAACTTCCCCAAACACCCACTCCCCTCCCCCACAGAACCAGGCTGAATTTGTATTCAGTTCTAGGCACTGCACTTGAAGAAGGATGAAGACCGATGCAACAGTTCAGAGGATGGCCAGTGGTGTGGAAAACAAGTCCTATGCAGAAGGAACTGGGTATATCTAGCCTGGAGAACAGAAGGCTGACAAGGAGCATCATTGCAGCGCCCTCTGAAAATGTGAAGGGCGATCTCATTGGAAAGGACAAGACTAGCTCTAAGCTAGGAGGGTTAGCATTGGGAGAACTGTCTCACAGGAAGAGCAGTTCCACTATGGAACCAGTTCCGTAGAAGAGGCATGGGGAGGCTCCAGCCCATGGCTCAGCTTGGGCCTAGTAGAGGGTACTAATTTGGCCTTTGAGGCTGTTTCCTCCAAACCACATCCACCTAACAATGCAAGAAGGGCCTGCTGGGTCAGGCCAATGGCCCATCTAGCCCAGCATCCTGTTCTCATTGTGACCAACAAGATGCCCGTGGGAAACCAAGAAGCAGGAGCCAATCACTGCAGGAGTCAGGAGCTGTCACTGCATCCTGAGGGAGAAGGTTCCATCATCTAACTAAGCGCTTCATGAAGAAGTACAGTGGTACCTCTGGTTGTGAACGGGATCCGTTCCGGAGGCCCATTCACAACATGAAAAGAGCGCAACCTGAAACGCCGCATCTGCGCAGGTGCGCGATTTGGCGCTTGTGTGCATGTGCGAGCGGCAAAACCCGGAAGTAACCCTTCCGGGTCGCTGCAGGACATAACCTGAAAGAACATAACATGAAGCAAACGTAACATGAGGTATGACTGTACTTTCTTTTATCTGCCCTGAATCTTCCAACAAGCTTTGCAGTGGCGTGTGTTTGCTGCCAAATGTTCAGTTTGGCTTCCAGTTATTATTGCTTTTCTAAAGTCTTCATGAAAGCAGGAGTGGGACGTTGTCGATGCCTCGGAGGGAACAGCCGCATCCGGTAACTCGGAAATCCAAGAGGCACCTTGTAACTTAGCCATATGGAATGACAAGTCTTCTCCGATGCATTATTGATGTGCAACCAGATTACCCGCAGGACAGCCGGGCGCATGGAGGTGTGCTGCTGCCACATGCACACAAAACAAGCCGTTCACTGCACAGCAGAGTCTTTTATTTGCCATCCATTCAATATGTAAATAGACAAGCCGGTTCAGCAGCTGTAACTAAGGAAGAAATAGCCTTACGTTCCACTTACTTGCATTTCGCAACCTCTCTGGTTAAAATTTAAAGCTTAAAAGTGTCACTGATTCCAAGAACTTTAAAGGCTTTGACGCCTGCTATCGCATAGCCAAATAACCACATTTGCTTGCTTGGAAATGTGTTGCTTCTATAAATGGGCCCCTGCCTTCTACACTGTTGACTTAACATTATCGTTAGATTGTTTTATTCCATGGAATCATAGAGTTGGAAGGATCTCCTAGTCTCCTAGATCCCCTGCAATGATAGGACTATGCAGCTGCCCAGTATGGGAATCGAACCGGCAACCTTGGTGTTATCAGCACCATGCTCTAACCAACTGAGCTATCCAGGCCCTGATTATAGAGGTATATTTGGGATATAGGTGTATGAAGCTAGCAGGATGCCCACCTAATGGGAAGATGGCAGAGAGGCCAGGAACCGACGCAAATGCTGTTCAGCTAGAATGGGACAAGCCTATTTCACTGGCTGCTGTTCAGTTGGCTCGGATACTTTTATTGTTCATTTTAGACATTCAGAGATATTATTAGTATTCGTATTTGAGATGCCATGCTGTTAGTTGCCAGGGGAACCTGCCCGTTGGCAGGGTAAACATTTTACAATAAAGGAATGAGTAAATGGACCCGGAGAAGGGCCTAAGGCAAAGGTACAGTTCATGGTGAAGCTTAGCTGAGGTCGATGGGGCAAGAAGTCTAAATGAGTCGTAACCCAACCCACAGACGAGATGAAGAGTGCTGCTGCAACGTGGCAGGCAACTGACACCAAAGGGCATCACTTCTTCAGATCTGCCATTTGGGGTTGCCCAGGAGGGCAACGTTCCCTTCCCCTCTAAGTTTGCCTTGTTGAATTTATCATCTGGTAGGCAAAAGTGAAGAGAAAGCAAGCCATGCGTTGTTGAGTAGCAACAGGAATCATGTTTGGTTTTGTTGTTGTTGTTTTTGCTGCCCAGAGTAAGAGGCTGGGTGGCAAGGTTGCCGTTGTGTTATGAAGTTGTCGAACACTGTTCCGTGTGAGATGCTGAACCAGTGTAGAGCAAAACGCTACCAGGTGGGCAACAAATAGGAAGTGGTGACTGTGTTGGTGTTCATGCTGTAGTGTATTGTTCTAGTCCATGGGTAGGCAAACTAAGGCCCGGGGGCCGGATCCAGCCCAATCGCCTTCTAAATCCGGCCCGTGGAAGGTCCGGGAATCAGCGTGTTTTTACATGAGTAGAATGTGTCCTTTTATTTCAAATGCATCTCTGGGTTATTTGTGGGCAATAGGAATTCGTTCATATGTTTTTCCCTTCAAAATATAGTCCAGCCCCCTACAAGGTCTGAGGGACAGTGGACCGGCCCCCTGCTGAAAAAGTTTGCTGACCCCTGTTCTAGATGGAAGTGGGTGAATGAGTATTTATTTTTAAACACAAGGATTCTTTGAAGTCCATACACTCACTTTGTGGCAAATGGTTAGCTAGGGATTGACTGTTACAGGTATTATTGGCGGGAATGGTTGGGAGCGATTGTATGTGAGATAGTGCTGAGTGTATATTTGGGAGACGTTACTGTGGAGGAAATAATAATAATAATAATAGCTGAAGATTACTAAAATAGGGGGAAAGTGGTTAAATGGGAAGATATTGGAACCTTTTGGAGGTGCAGAAGGAAAAAAGAGAAGTCTTTTGCTTTTAGTGGCAATGGGGTTCCTGTTTTGCAGCCAAGCCCTCCCTTTTTTGGGGAAAAAAACTGATCTCCATTAAATCTGGAGTTATCACACACAGAATCAAGCTCGGAGGCCTCTGTTGATCTAGCATCATGCTGCATTTTGGCAAAATTGTGTGAACTTGCTTTCCACCTACATGCTGGGGCAGGGTGGATTTTGCTGATAACGCTGTGCAATTCTTCTTGCTTCCATAAATATGCCAACTTTTAATTTATTTTTCTGGGTTTTTGTGTTTTGAGAAAGGGATGCAACACTAATGAAGGAAAGAAGAATTTCCCCCTATTAAATGCCACTTTAGTACATAATAGGGAAAGACAACTAAAAGGTAAAGGGTTAAACACACACACACACACACACACACACACACACACACAGAGCGCCTTTCCAGGTTTCTCATTCAGCCCACCAGCACAGCCCTGATTCCAAACCTCCTGTTAATCTTCATTTCCTAGGCAGGGTGAGGCCGCTGCCTTAGCTCAGGGTAGGTGAGAAATTCAGTTCAGTTCACATTTAGCTTCCTAATTCACAGTCCCCCCCCCCCCAAAAAAATACGAGAAACCAAATCAATGTCATCCTTTGAAATTCACACTTCTCCGAATTCTGCAAGGTGAAGTATACATAAATGCATCCTGTTGGAGGGAAATGCTTTGCAAAAATAAAAAAGTATATATTGGACAAAATTGCATACAGACTTGTATACGGAGATAATCTTACAGCTGAAATTTCAATATGACTTCTTCGTTTAACACAAACTGTTGTGGAAATGTGAAGAAGTGAACTTAAAGACAGGGTAAATTAGAAAATGAAAGAAACTTAAATCGACAAATTCACCCACTCCGAGCCGGAGCATCTTGTGCAGTGGACAAGACAGAAAGAGAGGGGCCAGGGGTTTGGCTGGTCCTCTCCACTGCTCCTTACAGCATGGGCTACCTATCAGAT